TCTGACAACTGGGGCTCGAAACTGACAGTCTGTTGAACACCTCACTGAGTTTTTCCTCTTTCCTTTTCCTCTACTTCCCAGCTGTTGTACTTGAACTGATGGCAGATTCTCCTAATCTGTCCTGACTGTCAATGCTGCTAGTTCTTTCAAGTCTCCCCCTGAACTATCTGCAGCCCTGTGCATAATCCGTCTCTCTAATCCTCTGGCAACACCAAACCTCAACAAATACACTGAAGCTTTTCTGTGGCCAACAACCACTATCTCGGATCCCCTCATGAGTTTCCATCTGTTCTCTACAAACTCACTTCTGTAGCCTTCGTCATCCAGCTTCCCTGCTGATATCAAATTCATCCTGAAACTGGGTACATACCTCACATCATGCAATATTAACTCGGCCCCATTGTCAGTTCTCAAACGAACATCCTCAATTCCTCTGATCTTGGAGAGTTTCTCATTTCCCATCTTCACCACACCATGATTTCCTGTAGTAAAGGATGTGAACCAACTCCTGTCTGAAGCTACATGCATCGAAGCTGCACTGTCCACTACCCACTCTGATGACCAGTCTACAGGTGTTGTGTTATCCTCAATACAAGCTAACACCTCCGCTGACACATAATTTAGAGTGTCCTCATTTTCCTGATCCTCTTTAAGCTTCCTGCAGTGTTTCTTGAAGTGGCCCTTCTTATGGCAGTAAAAACATTCAACTTCTCCACTGGAACTCCCACTACCCCTATTATTCCTATGTTGCTGCTTCCCGTTGTACTTCATCTTGCCCTTCCCCTTAAACTGAGCTACCAAAGCTTATTCAACCCCATTTTCTACCCCTGAAGTAGTTACAGACATTTTTCCTAATTTTCTCTAGGCTTCTTCAGATAAGGCGGCATCACAAATAGCTGAAAACTTCAAGCTATTTTCTCCTAGCGAATTCGACACCGCGTCCTTCATCGTCTCCCAACCGTCAGGCAAAGACGTCAACAGCCTCATAGCTTTCACCTCCTCTTCAATCTTGACACCCATCCCTTCTAACTTGTTCAAGATATCGGTGAGCTCATTAATGTGAGAATTCACCGAGGTTCCCTCCTCCATGTGGATATTAAAATACTTCGTCCATAGAAATATTTTTGTATTGGCAGAAGGTTTTTCATACCTGTCTTGCAAGGCCTTCAACAACTCTTTTGCAGTCATCTCTTTCGCCACGAGACTACATACCCCCATTGATAGTGCCATTCTGATATTTGCAACGGCCTGCCCATCCATCTCATTCCAAGCTTTGTCTGTCATATCCGCTGGTCTCTCCCCCAAAGTCTTGTGTATCTTCTTGCACGTAAGAAGATCTTTTACTTGCATCTTCCAAAAACTAAAATTCTCTCCACTGAACTTCAGAACCCCTTCATAGTAATGGTGTGCTTGATATTTATCTCTCATGACTCTGCAACCTACTCTCTGATACCACTTGTTGGGAAATTTTACTCACCAATAATATTTTCCCCTTCCACAGTTTGTCAATGAAAACTAAGTCACACACAGTACTAAGAAAAATAAGGAAAATATAGAAAACGACACAAACAATTTATACTAGTTCACTCCAACTATGGGTTACGTCCAGTCTTCCGCAACAACGGGTTCTACTATGATTTTGGGATAAATACAATGGACCTCACAAACGCTCTACAAAGCACTCCCTAGATGCCACAACAATGGCCAACTAGCTTCTAAGCACTACGCCAATAGATACTTAGGAATACAGAACGAAAAATCTTACTTACCTTAAGAGAACGGGTTGCCGACAAAGCACTACAAACCCTTGTTCTCCTTTTGTTCTCTGCCGATTTGCCGCCACTGCCCCAATTGTGCACCAACACAAATCTGCTCCTAAAAAATCAAGTTTTTTTTTCTTCCTCTGCCAACCAAACACCACTGCCGCCATCTTTTTTTTTCTTTTGATGCAACAACACCAAAAAAGGGTTTTGCAACTTCTCTTGGCCGCAACTCAATGTGTGTGCAACAACACTACTCTCATTTTGACGGCAAAGCAAACATATATATGTATGTAAGTGTTAAGCAAAAAAACCTATTGAAATTAAGCCTTAGTTTTGGGCCCAATTAGCTTGTTTTGAATCCACAATTATCTAACATTAGGAATTTTAGTTTGTTTCTTTAGTGAGTGTCATGTCTGCTCCACCTGGATTGCCATATGTTTTCAAGTTAAACTACAATTTCATGAAGAATTTGACAAAGTTTGTGAAGGCGAGCAACGACATTGACTCTAAGGACCCTTAAATTTATAGATTTTAAAAAATAGATTTAAGTCAAAATATTATTTAAATATTAACTTCCAAACAATTGTAAATTTTATTTTTGACTTTTTCATTTTATCTATATATTTCAATACCAAAATTTTTCATATATTTTAAATGTAACGAAAAGTGAATATGTAATTTATAAATTTTATTATATTTAAAAATGTTGCAAAATATTGAATACATTTTTTTTAGTTCGTGCCGAACCTGGTAAACGAACAAATAGGTGGAAGTAACATATATTTACAGATTCAATATTTTTTTTTGTACTTTATGACGATTTTTGAACATCACGAAAGGTCATAAAATTAAGAGATTTCATGAAAGTTAAAAACATCACAAAGACTTGCTTYTGTCTTCGTTTCCTCCCTAGCCTCCCACCCCTTCTGTAACGCCCCACGTTCTATGGCTCGRTTATTTTAAGATTTAATTTGTGCCTTTGAATTTTTCCCTAAATTGATAATTTAATTTCTTAGATTTTCTAAATTCAGAGTTCTAATTTTTTATCCATTAGAATTCATGTTTAATTTTGTTAGATTAAAATAAATTAAGTTTTCAAATTTTGGAAGAAATTTTTAAATAAATCTTATTCCAAGAGTTTGAAAATTTAATTTCTCCTTTTGGTTTTTATTCTCGGGTTTTAAAATTAAGTTAATCTCTTAAATAAATTTCTCAAATTTTTTTTGGTTTAAAATGAGTTTTCTTTTTGGAAAAGAATTAAAATTCTTTTCTTTTACTTTAGTCTATTTTTTGTTTGGTTTATTTTGATTTATTTCTTTTGGGTAAAAAGAAAAAAAGAAATTAAAGAAAAAGAAAGAAAATAAAAAAAAGGAACAAACCCTAAAATCTCTGTTTATCCTTTCTTCTTCTTCCTCCCTTCTCCTTTTTCTTCAATCGCCCCTCCCCCAACCCTCTTCTTCTTCTTCTTCTCCGACGGCGTACTCCTCACGCGACATCAGACTGCAGCGGCAACGACTGTAGCACCCACGACGGTGTGTTTGGTTCAGCGGCAACAACTCCTTGCTCTCCTTCCGTCGGTCCACGGCAGCACGACGTCCCCCACTCCCCAATAGTAGCGTGTTAGGACCCTTAGTAGTAAGTAGTTCTTATTTGTAGGAATGTTTGTTCTTTGATGTATAAATTGTTTGTGTGCTTGTGTGCCTATGAGTATTGGTTGCATGATTGTTTGTGGTTTATATTACTTTATAGATGTTGCTCTTGATATATTAATGATGAGTTTCAACATGTTGGATTAAATCTTGTTGGTTATCTGAAAGTTGACGATGATCTGTTTTGACTAAAGGAGTTTATGGAAATCAGGATTGTTTATGTATTTTAGTTGATTGTGCTTCTTAAAGATTAATAGTTATGTTATTGCTTACTTGGTTGTGTTTGAAAAMTAAGTGGTCGTTTTATTGTTTAGTCTTGGTTGTTGAAGTTAATTCTCTTGTTGGTTCGTGGGAGTTTTAATTCAATTCCTGGGGTTTGTTTTCTATGGAGTGCTTTACTTTTCATGGAGAGAAMAACTTTATTTAAAGAACAAAATAAAGAAGACATGAGGGCAATAAAAAAAGAAAAAGCCACRAGAAGTTGAAAAACTAGAGAAAAAATAACATTTATATCTGCTGGACTTAATATTATTGGGATGCTGTCATACTTGATTTTACAACCATTCCATGCAGTAGATTGGCCTATGTTTTTAAGATCTCTTAGATTTGATTTTGTGTGTTAATAATGTGAAATTAACTTTTGTGTATTGAATCWCGATCCAATTATTGGAACTAAATTTTGTTATTTGAATATAATAGGATCATGCTTTCTCTTGGAGTAACAATRGCATAATTAAATTTTGCATCTTTGATAAAGCTAAGCCTTAGTCAAGCCATAAGTCGGTATAAAAGGAATTTGATGTATGGTTGATTTTTTGAATTTTTTCCTATTGTTTACTGTACTTTACTACTGCTTCTTAAGTCAAGCTCGTTTTAGTTASTGTGGTTATTATATTGAAGTTAATTCAAGGTAGTTAGACCTTAGCTGGGAGGGTTCTTCACTTTATATTTGGATCACATTATGGCATGCTTGTATGCCTTAGAYTTCCATATGCCTGAACTTGTAGATTTTTTTGGATGGTAAGYAGATTCTATGGTATTAAGCATGTGTGATCAGATRGAAGGAACMTATTAAAGAAACTAATAGCAATKAGGCCATTAGCAACCAGTTTAAATTGKGTATTCTCTGTCCATTTCAATCTCATATTTTGATGTGTCTGAGTATAATATGAAACTTTTCTTSTACAGGACGTGCAATATCCAAGCTTACCCGTACATGATAAACCATGGCGTGTAGATCTTTATTTTTCAAGTTAGAWCATCAAAGTAGGTGAGTACTTAGAATTCTCTCTTTTGTATTAAAAAGTGGAGGGATGAYTATGCCGAAGTCAGTTTCTTTGATTTTCATTTTCAACCTCATCAAATTAAAGTTTTAAATGATATTTTCSTGTACAGTGCACTTATGGAATTGGCTTATGGGAACAAGTGTTCTTGCTGTTTAAGTGCGATGCATCTCTCTTTTCTCTCTTAGTTGAAGACAGATCAGCAAAGAAGAAATTGGCTTAAGGAGGGATGAGTGGTATTGATTTGTATTTGTTTTGAGTAACTCCTAGTTTCTTTTTTTTTTTTTTAAGTTCATGAACTATGGTTTATTATTGAATTTTAAGTTACATTTAATAGATAGACTCGTTCTTTTAGGGGTGACTTTCTTCCCTTATCTATCTTTGGTTATTCATTTATCTAACTTGGGTATTGTTTTTTTCATTAGGTCTTTCACGAACCCAAAGAAGTTGACAATTAGGGATGCAACTAATTGATGGATGAGCTTTCTTGTTGGAGTTGGTATGTGAGACTTGTTTAATTCTGTAATTTGTGTTTGTAGGAATTTGAACATGTTTACTATAATGTACTAGCAAGTCCGAGAATATTTCGAGAATACTTTGTTCCCACTATATTTCAACTTTGTTATCTAAATTAATGTATTTGCGATTTCGATCGACAATTTAATTATATGATATTTAAATATTACGTGACACATCTGCAAGCAAAATCAAATACATTTTCTGTGATTTTTTTTATCGTCACAAAATAAAATAATTCGTTACGTTTTTAAATAGTCACAAAAGTGTTTTGTGACAATTTTTAAATGTCATGAAATTTTTTTTGGTGACGTTTAAAAACGTCACAAAATGATGTCACATGACCTTTTCTCGCTACTCAAAGTCTTTCCGTGACGTTGTATAACAGTCACAAAATCAAATGTCGTCACGATTACTCATTTACGGTGACGTTTTTTAAACGTCGTGAAAAGTTTTAATTGTGACGGTCTTAAAACGTCACGAAACCATTTTTCATGACGTTTAGAAAACGTCGCGGAAGCCTATATTTTGCATGATGGTCTTTAACTGTCACGTGTGCTAATTTTCGTGACGTATAATTTTCATGATGGACGTATAGGTGATGACGTCAAAAACTTCACAAAAGGTTTTTGTGACGTTTAAAAAACGTCACGAAAAATCGAATTTTTACTAGTGGAGCTTAGTGAGGCAAATCCTGCACAAAGAAAACAAACATTTCAACACTTGGGTCAGTAAGGCCGATCTTAAGTTTCAAGCCAAGACATCATATTGCATACTTTAAGTCGGAATAACATTCAATTCCTATGTATAGGGTGTCAGGTGGTAGAGCTCATGTAATCATTCTGTTAGGTCATTGGCAAATGAGTTAGCTGGTTTCCTTTAGTGCATAGTGTTTCCTTCAATCAACAAGGATATGATTTAGTTTCCTTTAGTGCATAGTGTTTCCTTCAATCAACAAGGATATGATTTAGTTCTCCACGTGGCAGGTCACATTTTCCACTCTAACACCATCTACTATAATCAATCTACAAAATCGATTAACTACCAGCTTCAGAATAGTGAAGTATTTAATCAATTATTTGATAAATTCTTTTATCTAAAGCTATATATATAAACTCATCTCAAACTCACTCCTAATAATATTGTTCAAATGGAACCTCATGAATCTTAATATGGTATCAAAGTCTAAAAGTTCAAACGAGCATCTGGTCCAAAATGGGATCCGACCAAGATCGATGAGTCAAAAGAGCAACGATCTTAAAGGGGCATGCTAAGGATCCCACATTGGAAAAAAAATGAACCTTACAATGGTTTATAATAAACACGGACTACTCTTCTCATTGTCAATTGATTTTGAGATGGAATCCCATGAATATTAATATCTACTCAATTTCTTATAAGAAAAATATTTTACTTTAAAAACTATCTTCAAAAGTCATCTTGAACCGAGTAGGGTAGTAGTTTACTAATTAGATAGCACATAACAAAAATAATAGATTCAAAGCCTAAAACCCTCAAACATATTTAATTGGGAGAGGTGTGGAATGAAATAATTGAATTTTGGAATAAGGTTAAAAGCTTGGATTAGTGGAACATGTGAGTTATGATCTGCCCCCACAAACAAACAAAAACTTTGGTTAAAGCCACCCATATCCCAATTCCCATTCATTCCCTTTCACCCATGTGATCTGGGGTTAAGTTAATCAACTTGGATACTTTTTTTTTTTCCTTAAAAAAAATTCAAAGGCAGCCGACAATTCCATTTAAAAATAGTCAAACCCACCACTAGCTTTAGGGGAGGCAATTTTTCTCTCTCACATTGTATTTTTCACTTCCCATTACTCTTTTTACCTTTTTAATTACAAAATATGTATTTTTGGGAATATTTTTTTTCTTATCTAAATCGATGTCGTGTGGCTCCAACACAAGTTCTCCTAGGTACTATTATAAGGTCCTATATTTTTACCACTACGCCATCTTCGGGAGGCTTGATTCTTTTAGTGTATTACCATTCAAATGAGATGTAAGGATCAATCATCTTCTTAATTAACGGAAGTTATCTTGTCCTATATTTATGAGTAAACATGTAATTTTGGAAAAAGTCTAATTGAGTAACTTAAAATATTTTGTAAAACAATTCTGGTGAAGTTAGAATATTTTTAAGAGTGTAGATAATATTAAAATAATTTGTTATTAAACATTTGTGTTCATGATTAAAGTATTTTTTTACTTACAAAACACCCAATAAATTATTTTTGTAACTATTAAAAAGTGATGTCACTTGCAAAGCGGGTTAAATATTTGTACCTCATCGTATAAGTATCTCTTAAGCATATCTAAGTGGCTAACCATCTTTACCTCTTGAGTTTATCCAAGGAGTCCTTTCTTTTCTTTTTTTTTCATTTTTTCCTTTGTGGAACTTCTCCTGAACAGACGTAGATTCTTGAATTGATATTTTTCACCTTATACAAATGGTTTAATTTAAGAATACTTTACGTTGAGAAAAATGTCTCCTCTTCTCGTATGTTAGAGGACGTATAATATGTTATGTGTATTCGGAGACGGATTCTCGTATGTTAGAGGACGTATAACATGTTATGCGTGTTCGGAGAAGGATTGTGTAAGGTCCAAAGTGTGCATATAACATGTTATGTGTTCGGAGAAGGATTGCGTGAGGTTCAAAGTATAACACTTTGAAATCATCGCGTCCTACCTATGATACACTCTTAAGATCTGACCAAAGAGTCTAATCAAAAGGGAGCTCGAACTCAAGACGACCATTGCACTTCAACTGCTACACAATCGTCTAACTCCCCATTTACCACAACCGTTGAACCATTGAAATTTATGGGACGTGTAGAGTGGCAAACAACAATTCATATTTCCAGTCACTTATAAATATCAGAGGTGAGCTCCATTCAAAGATACACACGAATTTGGTGGCTCGACATGAGACCAAATACTTTGGTTTGAGACTAACTTGATTTTCAAGGTGTTCACCTCTGTTTTCAGGTACATTTTTCTCCACGAGTACAAATCCCAAGGAGTGACAAGAATTCGGGTAAAACATCATGTAAAGGTGATCTTGGTATATTCTTAATCATTAGTGTCATTTCTTGTTTCTAATTTTATTACGAAATCTAAGCATTTGACAAATATTCATGTTTCTTGTTTCTCATTTTTTAGAAACAATCTCAAARTTATATAGAAATTTTGGAAACAACAAAAATAAGTTTTTTGTTTCTTGTTTCTGTTTCTAATTTATTCCAATACAAATAATGATTTTGTTTTATCATTCTTGAATCYATGGGAGTTGGAGGCCATGTAATTCTTTTTTTTAATTAAAAAAGAGAAAACAGAAAGAAACAAAAACGTCACTAAATGAGTCATAMATGTCTTTACTCTAACTACAAGTAAAAATAATAGTTTTAATAGTCAACATGAGCATAGCTCAACGATAATTAGATCATGGGTTTGAATCCTCATTCGAATTGTTGTACTCAGAAGAAAAGTAGAATCATAATAATAATAGTTCCACTATTTTCTCTTAGAAACCTGAAAAAATGGGGAAAATAATCTTTTTTTTAAAATAAGTATTTATTAATAATTTCTTCTSGGTACATTTTCCATTTTTTTAATCATTTTTAAAATTCTAACCTAATCTTTGAAATAATAATAGTAAATAGTTTTTTTTTTTAATTCTATCTTTGAATTTTGACTAAGTTTCAGATGCATTTTGGAAAAGAAAAAAAACAAACAAAAAAACTATTACGGAAAAGAAACTTTCAAAAAATATAGATCAACAACTTCTAATCAACAGCTTTCCATTTTAAAAGGTTGACTATAACACTCATTTTCTTCTGCAATATTGGATTTGATTTATGTTTATAAATATGCCTAGTAAAAAATCCTTAAAATAAATAACATGTTTAAATCTTATTTTAGTTCCCGAATGTGTGCTTTGTTTTAGTGGTTAGCTTTGCATTAAAAATATTATTTTTATCCTTGCTATCAATTATTTTTAATAAACTATTTTATGGCCAAAACGAAGCTCAACCATAATTGAAATGGTAAGTTCGAATCTCATCCTACTAAAAAAATAAAATAAAATAAAAATAAACACCTAGCATATTAGACATTTATTTCGTAGATTTACCCAATCAATTAATTATTGTGAATAAGTGTATACAATATAGATCAAATATCACAAATTTATAATTTTTTAAATGATGAACGAAACTTGAATAAATAATTATTTTATACAAAGTTTAGAGAACTCCCAAAATAAAATAGGTATAAAATTTTATGATGAGAATAGAAATTAAATCTTTACTATATTAAAAGATGGAAGGGTTGAAAATCATTTATAAACATATATTTATCTCCCGTTTATCTTTTTAGATGTGCAAGTTTATGTGGTAGTTGTGATCCTTCGTCTATGGATTGATGGTGATAGTATTATATATCTAGGTTCGACCTCGAGGTTATTCTCTGTCTCAATGCTTGGGGTGTCCTTCGTTCTAGAAGCTCTTAGGTGTCTTAGTATTGTTTGTTGGTTGTATCCCTAAATATTTCTTTTTGAGTTGGTTGGCTATTCGTGATCGTTATGGACTAGGGATTTTATATGTCCTTGATGTCCTTCTACTCCAATTGAGTATGTTCTTTTATTACGATGAGATTCAAACTTAGGACCATATTTCGTTTGAGTGCATGTTTGGCAAATTTATATTTGGTGGTATTAAGGTATGATTGCATCGACGAGCTCTTCACATCAATTTTCAGGTCTCAAATATTCACTCGTAGCATATCATATCTCAATGGACTGACGTATTTGTCTATAAGATACCAAGCTTGCATGGATTTGTCGCATTAGTAGAGCTAGGTTGTTCACCTAGAAATAGAGTATAAAGAATTTCTTGGACCACCTCTAGCTATTTTGTTGGGTTTGTAAGAGAAATGCAAACAAAGTCCCACGTTAGCTAGGGAATGGATTGATCCATGGTATATAAGAGAGGATAATTATCTCCATTGATTTGAGGTCTTTTGGGTGAAACCAAAAGCAAAGTCGTTAGGGTTATGCCCAAAGCGGACAATATCATACCATTGTGGAGATACTCAAGGTATCGTTGTCCTTAATAAGTGGTATCAGAGCCATGGTCTAAACCTAGCTGTATCAATGAAATCTTCGGGTGCCGAAAAAAGAAGTGGTGAGCCTCAGAAGGTATTAGTCACGAAGTAATCCATGGGTGTGTTCTATCAAGATGTGGCAGAAGCCTTGGATAAGAGCAAACTCTCGTTCAAGGGGAGACTCGGTGGTACTTTGTTTAAGGGGATGATTGTTGGGTTTATGAGGGAAATGCAAACAAAGTCTCTCATTGACTAGGGAATGGATTGATTCATGGTATATGAGAGAGGACAATTATCTCCATTGGTATGAAGCATTTTTGGTGAAGCCAAAACAAAGCTGTGAAGGTTATGCTCAAAGCGGACAATATCATACTATTGTGAAGATACTTGGGTTACCGTTGTCATCAACATATTTCTCACATTTGGAGAGAACATAATTTTAGGATACATGAAAGTGCTTCTCATCCGACTCGGATTATTTTACAAATAGTTCATAGTGATGTTTACTACTTAGCGTGATACAATTCGTTTTAGTTCAGATTCAGCTTGAGATTTATTTTCATAAGTGAGTAGTTATATTTTATCTTGTAGCACTTAAATTAAGATCCGTACAATAATCATTTTTTTAGTACAAAAAGGTGAGAGAGAGAAACCAGGACGATAAAAAAAGAAAAAAGTATCCAATAAGGTCAAAATTATTGATTATTAAATATAGATGGTTGATGGTTCAGATTGATTGGTTAATAAATTCAATTATTATGGAGATTGAGAGCTTGGAATGACTAAAAGATACAATAAAAGAATTCTATGCACATGGTTTTATATTAAATGCAAAGATTCGATTCTCAATGTATTAATTTCGTGATGTCCTAAATATACCCAAATCTTTGATTTGCTAACCATTTATAATTTAAATACATCATCATGATTATGCAAATTAATTAAAAATAAATCACATTAAAAATTTTGTTTTAAATGCCCATTATTATTGATATATGAGAGATTATTTGTTTTAATGTTATTTTGATGACTAAATTTTAATATTTAATTTTGATACTTTCATCACATTAAACCTTAAATTTGAATAATCTGTAAAATTGATCCAAAATCAAATTGGAAAACTGTTCATGAAAATGAAATGGTTTAAATCTAGTTTTGATTTCTGACGTCCTAAAAGTTCCAATATTTTTCCATTTTGATCCTTGAAGTTTTAAATATATTTCATTATGTTCTTTGAAATTTTAGATTTATTTCATTTTTATCCCTAAACTTTAAAAAACTAACTATTTTAGTTTCTATTATTATTTACTTTTGATAAATTGGATAGTGTAACTTTGAGTATGTTTATTAACGTGTAGACTTAGCATGTATTCAGATCACTTAGATTGGCTAGAGTGAGAATTAAGTTAATAATATTAGGTGACATAGTAACAATAATGATATGAACAAAAAAAACTATGATCAAAATGAATATTTTTTAAAAAGTACCATGACTAATATACCTTAAAAAATGTTTAATTAATAAATTAATTATAAACAATAATTTGTATAGAATCGTAAAAGGTGGAATATAAAACTTTTGGTCATTTTATTTTCTAATAATATAATTTGAAGAATTTTTCTTTAATAATTTTAATTATAATATAAAATTAAATCAATAAAATAATTTAGTTTTAGTTAAAAAATTCAACATATACAACAAAACGTCAGCCCTAAACAAATATTTAATAAACAAACAAAATATTAAAAAAATAAAATAAAGGACCCATATTAGGTTGAAATAATTTAAAAATAAAAATATTAAAATACCTATTTACTTTTTTATTAATATATAATTTTTTCCTTTACTTTTAATTTATTTATTTACAAAATATATCATTAACAATTAACTATAATAGTATATTTTAAAAATAATTATAAATAGTACATTTTATTATTAGTAATTAGCTGTCAATAATAATAAATATATATAAAAATTAATCTTAATTATTTTTTAAAATAATTATACTTAAAATATTTTACGTGAAATTATATAAAATTTAAGTTACCTTATAATTAAAAAAAATTTATACGTGCATTGCACGTGGTAATACACTAGTACCTTTTAAAAGTTGAAAGGCTAAAATAGTCATTTTAAAAAGTTTAGAGATTAAAATAAATATTCTAAAAGTTGAAAGATTAAAATAAAATTGTTGTGATTGTAAGAAAAATAGACTGCTATGTGTCGAGCAAGCGGGTGAGGTATACCGACCTGGTGCATCAGAGAAGCCATGAGGGATGAATCAGGTCGAACTCGCCCTACTGTTACCGCCATCAGCATGCATGAAGGATGTAATTGACTGAGTGTGGTAATCCGTTACCAAGGTACGTTTGAATCGCTCTTGAATATACTTTATTTATTCTTCTACCAATACTGACTTAGGCATCATAATACTCACCTTTGTTTTGTCGCTCTTGAATATACTTTATTTATTCTTCTACCAATACTGACTTAGGCATCATAATACTCACCTTTGTTTTGTTGCTCTTGAATATACTTTATTTATTCTTCTACCAATACTGACTTAGGCATCATAATACTCACCTTTGTTTTGTGTGTCACTGGACTGACATGTCTGTGTATAAACGAGAACAAATCTAAAAATTTAGAGACTAATGAGATTTGAGCTACAAATAACACAGATGCCTAAACTTAATCATAAAAATATTCCAACTTACAACAAAATCAAGCAAGTAAAAAGAAAAGTCCAATTCGTGATATTAAGGAAAAATAATTCAATATAAAAAACAAGCACACCCGCAAAATCATTTTTTCAAAAAGAGAAAAACATAACCAAGAAGAATATTGATTTCACCACTTTTTTATTTTTTATTTTTTCATTTTATAACTTTATAATTTAATCTAGTTTAATAAAATCAAACGTTTATGGCTGAGAATACAGTAGTACAAACAAGCGGAAATTCTAGCCTTCTTCCTGAAAAAGTTCTATTAGCACTTTAGTCGCCCAAAATCTTTCATGTTTGTAAACAAAAGAAAGATAAAATATATATATATATATATATAGTTATTTACTTTCACTCTAGTTGATTTTAATCTGTCTATTTTAAAATATTCATTATTATATCGGTATTTTCAATTCTTTTTTTCATTTTACTTCTATAATTTCGAAACATTTATTTTGATTAAGTTACTTTTAAAAAGTGACAGTTTTAGTCTTTTTATATTCTTTGATCACAATTACAATATAATATTATATCTGATAAATTTCTTAAAATATAATCATAAATTTTAAACTTTGTGTTAAAAAAATGTTAAAATTTGTTAAAATTTTGTAAAATTTAAAATTAATCAAAACAAATATTTAAAAGGAATTGAAAGACAGACAACGATAATTGACATATACATTCAAGTTTAATAAGAAAAGGAACGAATTTTTCCCAATATTTTATTACAAAGAGGGGTTGGTGTAAATTATCAGTTTAAAAAGGGTTGAAAAGAAAAGAAAACATTTTATTTTAGCCTGAGGGAATCTCTGGAGAGAGAGAATTTGCAAATTTGTCTCTGAATAAGAAAAAGAAAGATAAAGCAGAAGCAAAAGCAAAATCCCCCAATTTCGTGTTCTTCCTCCTCCGCAAAAAGACCGAGCCCTAATCGGAATCCATGGAGATCGCCGGAAAATTGCTCAAGTTCAGATTCCATTTCCTCGCCGGCCTGATCCTCTCTCTGGCGCTCTTCTCCCTCATCCTCCTCGCTCCGAGATTCCTCTCCCTCCTCGCCTATTTCTGGCCCCTCCTCCTCTCCACCGCCCTCTTCCTCCTCGCCGTCCTCCTCTTCGCCAACACCTCCCTCCCGCCGCCCGACAAAGCCGGCGAGGGCCTCCTCAACTACGTCGCCGGCCACCACCCGGACCACCACCACCACTTCGACGCCGCCTTCAAGTCCGATTAGAACTCCGCCGGTTCTTCTACCTCTCTCTCTCTCTCTCTTTTTAATTGCTGGTCTTCTCTGTAGCTTCTTCTTCTTCTTCTTCTTCTCTGTCGTTGCCGGAGTTTGAACTGAAATCTGACTCCTCCGATCGAGTATTTTCTAATTTTATATATTGAAATAACAGTTATGAAATGAAACCTCCTCTTTTTTCTTGGATCTGACTTGGAGAAGATGCTCTGATTGATTTTATGTTCTTGAGGTCGATTACTGGTAGTGTTTGGATCGGATCGGTTTATATGTTCTGTTGCAATTTGTGAACTCTTAATTTCTGTTTTTGATCCGATCGATTTGAGATTGAATGTGAAGAATCCTTCGCTGAGCTCATCGAGTATAAAAGCTTCTGTTGAATCTCATTGGATCGGAAACGAAAGGGACAATTTGATCGGTTTTTTTTCCTTTATTTTTTGAGGAAATTTTTGTTAATCATGGACTCTAGGCTCTAGCATAATATAATATTTTTAAAAAATTATGTTGATCTCTATGGTTTATTAGTCTACGTGATTTTAAAATTTTCAATTTAATCCGTTTGATTTAAGCGTCCATTTGATTTTAAGAGCTTTATACAATTTGAATAAATTAAGGTTGCTTTTGGTTTGTGATCTAAAAATATACTCTATGAAAAATAGGTTTGTCTCTATGCTTTTCGTATATGGATCTGGCAGCGAATTTGAAAAAATTGAAAATCTCAATAAAACTTGTTCCTTGTTCAAAAAATAAAAATTGTTCCAAAAGGATTTTAGTAATATATTATAGAGTTAGTTGAATTTAAAATGATAAAGTGAGCATAACTCAATGGTAATTGGTATATTAGTTCGAATCTCACACCTCCAAGTACTGTTCTAAAAAAAGTTGAATTTAAAGTAATATTAATTGATTTATTAATCAATTTTTTTCTTYAGAGTAGATTTATTAACCATTTATATGTTATAAAATTTGTAAATTATTATTTTACAATTATATATAATTTATATTATATTATATTTTACATTTTTTATTTTAACAAAAATAAATAAGTTTACACTATGAAATAATATATTTATCAAAATTTTTATTTTTTTTAATATAATGATGTATTTTATAGTTTCAAATTTAAAATCTAAAAAAAAAATTGTTTTCAAAATTTATACTATAYGAATCACATAAGTCTGAAATGATTTTCAAAAACAAATATGTTAGACAAATACTTAAAAAGAAAAAATTGTTAGACAAATATTTAATTAATTAATTTGTTTTAGTGAATATGAAAAATTCAAATTGTATATCAAACCCACGCTTCACTGATACTCATGAAATTATTTTCTACCCATTTGAAAACTCTTTTTTTTTTCTTTTCCTCATTTTTCTAAAACATAAATTATGATAAAGTCAATTAATACAAACAATCGAATAAAAAAGTTCATTAATATGAAACGGTGACATATATTCTAAGAATGATTTGTGAAGTGTATGACGAATTAGAAGGTTGTGAATTTAATTATTTACCTCTCAAATTTAATTGTAATAGATCATTTGTTAATATATATATATATATATATATAWAYAAAGATTGGTATTGAAATTCTATTCAAATTTACAGAGATTAAATTACTGTAAAAGCATAGTTTAGTAGTTATGCATCATTCTCAATCTAAACCTTTAAAGGTTAAATTCGAATCTTCCATCTTATTTATCCTATTAAAATAAATAAAAAGTACGGGAATGGATAATTACGAGGGGGCGATGAGGAGAGATGCATATGCTCTCCAAATGGCAATCGTACGGACGAGATTCGTCGGACGTTATTGGGTTGCGGCCTGTGGGGTCCACAAACCAACAATTACTTAATGCCGTTGTAAATGGTAATCATATATATTCAAATTTAACCATGAAAATATTCTTAGTCTATAGCCTCGTAATTAAGCCACCATAATGTTGCGTTAATTATCTTTTATTTTATCATTAATATGATTTCTTTAATTTTGCCAAAATTCGAGTGATCAATTTGAGAAATTAAGGTTCTTGATGCGTGGATTTCGGTCCTCCGGTTCTCCTCCGCGCACCCACCAAACTTGTTGATTCGGGACTGGTACCTGCAAAACCAAATCGAGCTAAACCAGTGTGACTCTAGTCACACGGGCTCCGATGCTTAAGTTAGCAAGAGAATAGCGTAAATGTAGTCAACTTTTCGATCCCCCTACCTCTAAGGCTGGATCGCTACTTATAGCGTGAAGTCGTTCCAGAACTTTCCATAGCTAACCCTAATTCACCGTTGCAGGGCCTAGGCGRAATCATCGATCGAAGATGGGGGATCGTTGGCTCGGTTGTGGGCCGAGCACGGGTCGGGACCAAGCACCGGGTCGGGACCGAGCCCTCTCGGCCCGGTTAGTTCTCCGCTAGTCGCTCTCCTCGTTCTTTGCCCCGGCATTAGGTCGTTCTTTGGGCCGGCCCGTTACGTCATGGGTCGGTCTCCCCCAATCAATGATCTCAGACTTCAACTCCTTGTCCCGTTTCGGGTCGTTTTTTCTCTCTATAACAATGGCCCCCACTCTCAAAACAGAAGACGAATAATTGTGTAAAGATCTTTGTTTTGAGAGTACTTATCGCTTGTCGTTACCACAAGATCATTGTATATCAGTGGCTAAAAATGAGAAGGTTGCTAACGCACAGGGCTTCTACCAAAAGCTTTTGATCTAATTTTGGATTTTAGTGCTTGGTT